TAAATGTATTAAATTACGTATCTTGTAAAGTTGTAACTATAGTCTATACCTACTAGAATATATTATATAAGTATGTTAAAACTGTCGTCTTTCAATTATTGTGGACATTAAGAACAAAATATTTAGGTTAGGCATAAAAGTAAATTTTAATATAATATATATTTTTTATTCACAAAAGTAAACAAACCCGGTGGTCCGGGAATGGATACCTATATTATATCGTTAGGGGTACATGACAAGTACAGTCGAGTAGCGATTATCGTCACGACAAATTTTTCGTATTTTTATTCATCTCAATCAATGTGAACATTTTCGAAATTTCAATCATGTCTTCCGGAAAAATATGCGAATCCGGAATCATCTACAACAGTAATAATATTTGTAGGTACTGTAAAAAGTGAACCATGGCGAGAATTATATTGTAGGTATGCTAAGTAAATCGTAAATTTTAGATTCTGAGTGAAACGATTATATTCGATCTATTCATTTTACAATGATGTGTGTTTTTTTTTTTCTGTGTATGTCATCACCTTTTAGGACAGTAAAAATGCTTAGATCTTCTTCAACAGTATCTTTTCTGATAGGAAAGTGAATCTAGTTGGTACTTTGGGGGGTAAAAATTTCCCAGAAGTTTTCAAAAGTGCCACGAAAAACAAAAGAAAAATTAAGGAAAAACGGGAATTTGTTTTCTCGAAAAAATCGATTTTGGTTTTTGGTGCAACTCTTAAACGAATGACCTTAGGTACATGAAATTTTGACTGAATATTAGCGTTTTCTATACACCATAACATTTTACAAATATTTTGACTTATTTTGAGCTCTTTACGGACATTTTCAGTTTCCATTTTTTTTAGTTTATTTTTCTATAAACATCGATAAAATTTTATATGTTGGTTGCGAAAGCATGAAAATTTAATAGAAGGCTCCTAGTATATCGTTTCAAAGGCAGATGAAAAAAATTAAAAATCCTTAGTCACAGTTTTTTTGTTATAAGCATTTGAAGTTCAAATATTGACAAAATACGTAAAAATGACGAAAATTTGCAAATTATTTCTAGTTAGAAATTCATAAAAATTTTTCTTTTTAAATTTTAGATATGAAAATGTAATACAAGATTCCTCATAAGTTTGTCTACCTTTATCAAAAAAAAAAATATCCACAAGAAACTCAAATTAAATTTTTATGAGCATTTGAAATTCATATTTTTACAACATTTGATATTCACTCGATTTCTCATGTGAGTATGTGACGATTTTCTTATTTTGTTGTAAATAAAAACGAATGACTGTAGATACTTGAAAATTTTACTAAATGTTTATATAAGCATTTCCTATACACCATAAAATTTTGAAAATAATTTGACTCTTTTTGAGCTGTTACGGACATTTTCTATTTTCAATTTTTTTAGTTTTTTTTTCTATAAATATCAATAAAGTTTTATCTGTTGGACCAAAACGAGTAAAAATTTAATTCAAGGCTCCTGATTTATTGTTACAAAAGCAGTTGAAAAATATTAAAAATACATATTCTCAATTTTTTTTTATAAGCATTTATAGTTCGATTTTGACAAAATTTATCAAATTTTAAATTTAATAAATATTTTGTAGTTAAAAATTTATAATTTGTTCAATTTTTATATCTAAGGATTGAAAATTTAAAACAAGATTCCACGTAAGGAGTTAATTCTGTTACCAAAAAAATCTAAAAAATACAGAAGGACAGTATATTTTTATAGTCATTTTAAGTTCAAATTTGGACGAAATTACATAATTAAAAACCGTATCATAGGGATGCAATAGAAAAAGTACAAATATATTTACTCAAATAAATTTATTACTAAAAAAAAAAAGGTTAATTATATATTATACACCAGCGACTGGCGGCCCCCCTAAATGTGTCAAAAATGTCTATAAAAAATATCTATTTATATTTTTTTTTTTGGATTTTTTCGTTACAGTATGAACTATGAACAATATTTTTTATAATATTTGTTTTAAATTTTCAATTCTTAAGTATAAAAAGTTAAAATGTAATAATGTTTTAATTACAATAATGTATAAAATACCTAAAATAATTGATAATTTTCGAGATTTTGATAAATTTTGTCAACATTTCAACTTTAAATACTCATAAAAACAGATCGTGCCTATGGATCTTGAATATTTATCAACTGCTATTATAACAACTTATTAGGGACCTTGTATTAAATTTTCAAGCTTTTTAACCCAACAAATTTATATTTAAAGAATAAAAAATAAAAAAGTCAAACGTCTATTAATAACTCCTAACTAAAAAATGATAAAATAAACATTTGATGAAAATGTTCCTAAGGTTATTAGTTTTTGAAAAATGACAAAATAAGAAAATCTTTGTATGAGAATTTGACTGGTGAATATACAATGTATAGCTTCAAAAGTTCGTAAAAAATTAGTTTGACTTTCCGTTAAACTTTTTCTTGTTAAACGTAGGATAACTTAAAAACTTAAGGGGAATCTTATATTCAATTTTCAAAGCATAAATAGAAAATTTTTTATGAATTTTATCAACATTTTGACTTCAGACCAGCATGGAAAATTATTGTGATTTTACTCTAAACTTTTTTTTAATTTCCACTAACATCAACTTATGAGGTTAAGTTGTATAAAATTTTCAATATTTTTGACCAGCGAAAAATGTTGTACCAATAATAGTTTTAAAAAAAATAGAATATTATAAAGTATATTATATTATACACGCATATGTATATGAATAATTTGTGGTTAAATATATGTTTTCCAAAGAACGTAAAAAACATGAATAATTCCTATTATATGACGCTAAGGTTCCCACACACTGCTGCGGTAGGGGTTGCATTGTGGTAATAATATGAGTCCGGACATACCCTTCTTCACCATTACAGCGTGTGGCAATTTTTACGCAGGCTGAACTACCTAAAAATGGATGTGACAGCTGCTTAATTGATTAATCATAATCCAATTCTGAAAACGACCAGAAGAGAATATGTTTTTAGAAGTGGAGTGTGTATCTTTATTCTAGACTTCTTAGTTCTTTGGTCCTTCTGGATCTAACCGCGACTTGTGAGTCTTCATAACAACCAATTTATATTTAAGTTTATTATTAAATTATAATCAAAAATAAAATAAAATAGGTACATAATTGTAAAATATTTAATACCTATATCTAGGGTATAATATACCTACTAAGCTAAATATCAGTGTAAATATTTATTACAAATTAAGCGAGTGAATTTAAACTTTTCAACTCTCTTAAAGCATGTTTTTTTGCACTCGTTAACCCTATAATTGTTGAATATGGCTCTGTATTTTGGGATCCTCAGACTGCTAAGGCTTGCAAGCAGCTTGGACGTGTCCAGCGAAGGTTCCACAGCTTCGTTAAATTTAACTTTAACATTACTTGCGAACCTCATGACTACACTCCCGTCCTCCGTTTTCTACATCTCTCCACCCTATCCGATCGTCGTTACCAATATAATTTATCTTTTTTTCGCAAACTTCTCTCTGGCTCTATTGACTCGTCTCCCTCCTTGCACTTATTAAAATAAAGGTACCTATTAGAAACACCCGCAATAGTGCTTTTTTCTTATACCTCATTGTTCTACCAATTATTTAAGAAATGAAACACACCCTATGATGATGAAAATTGCCAATGAGGATCCGTCATTCTTCTTCTTATTTATTTAATTTAATTTTTTTCTCCTAAATTATTTTTTATGTATATAATAAAAACATGCCTTTGTATAAATTGGGCTCTACCCGTTATTGTTATTAAATAAATAAATAAATAAATAAGAGTATATATAAGGTATAAATAATAAATATTAACAATATTATAGTTTTTAATACTTTTCATAAACATATAGTGTTGCCAGGCGTATAGTATAGGCAAAATGGGTACATTACTGCAGCAGTGTTTAATATTGTTCATAATTATTAATTACCTTATATTTTGGCGCTTCGCTACTCTGTTCGCCGGCAGAGAGTGTGGTTGCATACAATCTAAAACGAGTCATATTCCAATTCCACAGAAAAAAACCCGAATCCCCTCACCACGGAACCAGTTGTATAAAATTTACAAACAATAATCACATTAATTCCAAAATACTATTAAAATGTAATGCCATAAGAATGGCCTTACGCTCTAGTACTACATAAACCGAGTGACTGGTATGGGTGGTTTGTTTAAATTCGTGTATAAATAAGATCGGTATTATTCTATGGAAATGTAGTATCTATTCTAATCTTACATTCGAAAGTAAAAGGTACAAAAATATCATCGTTGTAAAAATATTAATATAAATTAAGATACAATGCATCCAATATATTTAATAGTTTATCTAATTTAAGTTATTTAACATATTATTATGCATATTTTTAAAAATATCATGTGTTTAAGATAAATCTAATATAGTAAAATAAACTATCTAATTAAAGCTTATCGATGTCTTTAGATGATCTACTTTTTATTATAGTAGAATTTTCATTTTTCTTCACCAGAATATCATCATAGCCATAATAAAAATATAATTTATATTTTATAAACCTGAGACTGTAGAAAATAAAACCATGAGTAGGAAATGGTAATATAAACATTTTGTGATAATGTAAAGTATATCTATGGTAATTTGTTTTTGAATTACAACAAAATAAGAAAATCTATTTTTCATAACTATTTTGGCGTAAAAAATATATTACACTGTGTATGTATCGGACAAGAATATTTTTTTTTATAAAAATTACGAATTATTAATTAGGAATATAGTATTAAAAGTGAGAGCTTAAAGGAATACAAAATTGGTAAGAGAAGAAGCTTAAATATCTTTTGATTTTTTTGTATGTAAAATAAATTTAATTTAAACATAAAATATATTTTATACAAATTATAATGTAACAAAATAATAACAAATTATAATGTAAAAGAATAAAATTTATATATTTTTACATTTTAATTATTGACATTATATTCAGTTTTGTATAATTATTTTACCCATCATAATTAACTGACCATAGAAGAGGTAAATGTTTTGGTTTCATTGTGTCAAGGAAATGCTGTCGCCACATTGCTTTTAATTCATTTATTGCGTCTTGTTCTAAAAAGTGTTTTACTACTTTTTCTGCTGCACTGTTATGTTGACAGTCATTTTCATACCTTTAAACAGTATCAATTTAATAAGTACATAAAACATTTAAACTTTTATAAAACTAACTTACTTTAAGGATTTGATAGTGAGTAAAGTTTCAAGAAATGTATCAAACACTCGATTTGGTTTCATATTAAACGTTTCTGCAATTTCTAGTCTTAATTCATTCGCTACTTTATCTGGTAATGAACGTCGAGATTTTAAAAGAGTTTTAGCAAGACTTTTTGACCTCATAATTTTCACATATGCTGGAATCTAAAATAAATATATTGAGTTCAAACATTATTTTTTAGTATTTGCAGATAAACTTTTGATTTAATAAAAATTACTTTTTGGTATTCATTAGGATTTAGCTCTTTAATTTGACACATATTGAATAGTTTTTTACGTATTATGAAATCAAAAGCATTTGATTTTATATGACACCAATAACATAATAGCAATGTATCGTGAGGTATATGAGTTTTGTGTACAGCTACAATGAACATTTACTCATGTAAGATAAATATGAAAACTAAAAATAAAATTTGATTATGATACATACTTGGCATATGTCGAACAAATTCTTTTGGTATGATACTTTTCTTACGGAAATATTCAGAGCGACCACAAACTGTACATATATTTTCTCGGGGAAGAACAGAAAAATTGTCTTTTCTATTTTTTAAGTCTGCTGAGAAGTTAAGTCTTATAGTTTTTGGTTCATTATTTACCAATTCCGCTAAACCTTGGGATATATACCTACATATGACAACGCAACAAAATTAAATATCTACTGTATACAATAGCTAATTATAATATTGCTATACTCACCAATCAACTTTTTTATGACTACAAGTTGACATTACAGTTCCATCAACATTTTCCATCAAGCAATTATCATACACTTGAGCAGATTTTATTGTTGAAGTTGAATATAAGCGAACATTAGATTTTGGTTTATATTTAGTGTTTCCATTAGTTCGAACATTTTGATACGGAAGATCTTTATAATCTGAGTATATTTCAGTAACCTTATCCCATTTTTGTTTGTCTGTTAAAAATAACCAGTTCCACCATGATATCTATTTAAAATGAACATACATACATTCATTGGTTCAATTATAAATAAGCATAAATTACTTTTTTATTTCTCAGTTGCTCAAAAATCTTGACAGCTACATAAGCATCCAATGCAGCATATTCAGTTTGGCGATCATTTAATTCTTCAGCTTCCCAATCACTAGCTCGAACATGCCAATCCTTATCTAATTCACATCCCAGCAATTTAGATGCAAGAGCTGCCAAACTTCTTTCTTCTAAACAAGATTCTTTAGCTAAATATCTCAAATCAATGCATCCAGATACATTGATATTGTAATCATTCATCAGTAAATGAGCATCATCCAAAATAGCAACACCAACTTTAATTATATTTGAGTTGCTCAAAATGTCCTAAAGTAAATATTCAAAAGTAATGTCCAATTAGGTATAGCGAGGAATATTAATTTGATTGTGCAGTATTATACCTACAGATAAAGATGATGGAATAGTTTTAAACTTAGACAATCTAATCAAAGAACACATTCCATTGTTGTCAGCAATTTGTAACAACGCCACAGGTTGACGAGTTCCATTTTGAGTTACCCACTCACAATCTAGTCCCAGAATTGGCAAGTAAGTGGTTGATCTAAAAAGGAGTTTTTTTAAAATAAATAGGTAATATAATTACTAATTAATTAGGTAATGATGATACTTACTGTTCAAATTTCACTGCTATCTGTTCACATTGTTCAACTGTATCGACAATATCAATTTGTCGGGCACGTAATTTCATATATGATCCAAGTAATGGTACTTTAGTAAATATTTTGATCATTATTAATTTAATTACAGAAAATAACATTTTTGCCGTTACATTGTCAGATGTGAAGTAATAAAAATTGAAGAATATTAGGATTTAGGATTTGCTTTGTTGATTTCTGAAATCAGTGAAATCTGAATACCATTATCAGTTATCAATTATAAATATTTTTAACGGTTATCATAGAAATGTCTTGTGATATGATAATATCCGCATAGACATATTATTATAATAGTCTTTATAATAATATGTATATAATATTTCATATAATTTAATAAATGATCTATATGATATATTATATTATTATGTCTATATGTTAGGCTGTTTTCAATTTTCTGTAATTAAACATTCGATCAATCTACGTTCCAGCTGTTTTTTTATTTGGAACATTATATTTATAGGTAGGTACGTCCAGCAGATCACATTTAGATTTAGCCCTGATAGTTTAAAAACTAGAATGAATTGAACTCTTATAAAATTTAGAAGTAACTAGTAAGAATATTATCTAGTGGAGTATAATGAACCTCATACGGTTTTTAGATTCTGAGCGGATCGATGAATGTATTGATTTTACAATGATGAGTGTATTTTTAAAACTTATTTTGTGTTTGTCATCATGGTTTGGGACAGAAAACTGCTTCGATTTTCTTCAACAGTAATCTATCTTGTTTGATAGGAAAGTCAATCTAGTTGGTGCATTTGGGAGGTCAACATTTAAAATTTCAGTAGTTTTCAAAAGCGCAGGGAAAAACAACATAAAAACAAGGGAAAACGGGAATTTATACGCAAAATCGGTTTTTGACGTAAGTAACTCTAAAATAAATTACAGTAGATACATGTAATTTTCACTGAATATTTATATTAGCATTTGCTATAAACCTTAAAATTTTTTTGACTTGTTTTGAGCTGTTTACGAACATTCTCAATTTTCAATATTTTTAGTTTTTTTTTCTATGAATGTCAATAAAATTTTATTTTTTTGGTAAAAATGCTCGAAAATTTAATACATGGTTCCTAATGTCAATGTTACAATGAAATTTGAAAAATATTAAAAATCCATAGTGACAGTTTTTGTTATAAGCATTTAAAGTTCGAATTTTGTCAAAAAGCGTTGGAATCAAGAAAATTTGCAAATTATGTTGAGTTAGATATTCATAAAAATGTTTCGTTTTAAATCTAAGATTTAAGATTTTTAAAATGTAATTCAAGATTCCTTAGAAGTTTGTCTAAGTTCATCAAAAAAAAAAATATATCTATAAAAAGGTCAAATAAATTTTTTATGAGCGTTCGAAGTTCAAATTTTTACAACTTGGATATTCGCTCGATTTCTCATGTAGTGATTTTATTTTTTTGTTGTAATTCAAAAACGAATAACCATAGATACTTGAGATTATAATATCATATGTTTATTTTATAAATCCAAAATATTTTGACTTGTTTTGAGCTGTTTACAGACAATTTCAATATTAAATGTATAATTATTGAGGGGGTAAAATGTTTCCCCAGGGCCAGTGGCGTAAACAGGGGGGGGGGGGCTAACGGGCTAAAGCCCCCCCCCTATTGCCCGTATTATTACTACTTAAAAAAAATATATTTATCAAGTTCCAACTGTCAACTATAGTAAGCAACGTAAATTTAATATAGTCTTACCTGCAGAATGAATTCATTTTTGAAAAAAATTGTATTTGCATACCTATTTTCCTAAAATTATCTGTAATTTTTCGGTAAAAGTATGAACTACTTGTATGAAAGACCTTGTATTAAATTGTCTAGAATTAGCTATACACATATAATATTTTATAAGTTTTGAACTACAAATTAACTGTGATGGTTTTAACGAAATTTGAAATTTGAACTTTAAATGCTTATAAAAAATAACCATGATGATGATGCCTATATTATAATTTTAGCTATAATAAAAACGTACGTATTACATTGTTAAGCTTTTTGACCGGATAAATAATTTTCTATTGACATTTATAACAATTTTTATTAATCAAATACAATCCAAGTGAGGACGGTATAACCAAGCTGGTTACCAAACAATTTTAACAAATTTTCATTATTTTTTTCCAATTATTTTAAAAAGCTCTGAGCATTTTCAATTTCGCTCTCCTAGAAGTACCAACTAGATCCAATGTGCTTCCAAAAACATACATCGGACATCTTGTTTTAAATTTTCAATCCTTAGATATAAAAGTTAAGCATTTTATAAATTTTTAACTACAAAATAATTATTCAATTTTAAATTTGATAAATTTTGACAAAATTTGATCTTTAAATGAAAATTTTCCTATGTATTTTAAATATTTTTCAACTGCTATTGTAACAATATATCAGGAGCCTTGTATTAATTTTTACACTTTTTTGGCCCAACAGATAAAACTTTATTGATATTTATAGAAAAAAAAAAATATAATAATTGAAAACTGACAATGTCCGTAAACATCTCAAAAAGAGTCAAATTATTTTTAAAATTGTATGGTGTATAGACAATTAAAATATAAACATTCAGTGAAATTTTCAAGTATCCACAATCATTCGTTTAAATTAGAATAAAATAAGAAAATCGTTACATGAGAAATCGAGTGAACATCAAATATTGTAAAAATATAATTTCAAATGCTCATAAAAATTTAATTTGAGTTTCTTGTAGACATTTTTTTTTTTGATAAAGGTAGACAAACTTATGAGTTATGAGGAATCTTGTATTACATTTTTATATCTTAGATTTAAAAAGAAAAATTTTTATGAATTTCTAACTAGAAATAATTTGCAAATTTTCGTCATTTTTACGTATTTTGTCAATATTTTAATTTTAAATGCTTATAAAAAAAAAAAATTATTAAAAATTTTAATTTTTTTCATCTGCCTTTGAAACAATATACTAGGAGCCTTCTATTAAATTTTCAAGCTTTTTTAACCAACAAATAACATTTTATTGATATTTTTAGAAAAAAAAATGGCAACTGAAAATGTCCGTAAAGAGTTCAAAATAAGTCAAAATATTTTTAAAAAGGCATGGTGTATAGAAAATGCTAATATAAACAGTCAGTAAAAATTCCATGTACCTACGGTCATTTGTTTAAGAGTTGCACCAAAAACCAAAATCGATTTTCTTGAAAACAGATTTTGCATAAAAATTCCCGTTTTTCCTTAATTTTTCTTTTGTTTTTCACGGAGCTTTTGAAAACTAGGTACTGGGAAATTTTTACTTTTCACCCTCCAAGTACCAACTAGATTCACTTTCCTATCAGAATAGATACTGTTGAAGAAAATCCAGGCACTTTTGCTGTCCTAAAAGGTGATGACAGACACAACAATAAAAAAATTAAAAAAACACACATTGTAAAATCAATACATTCATCGTTCCACACAGAATCTAAAATAATAATTAATATGTACCAGGTACATTGTACCTATACTGTCTTACTATGTGTACAAAAAATACAAAATATATATTATATACATACAACATACCTACAGGCTATAGTATGATAATATTATACTGCATTACTTCATATTATTTTATATAATATTTATTATTATTATTATGTCGTTATATGAATCGCGCTCAGCCGCCCGGCGTCACCGTGACGACGGGATGGGTTCAACTGTTGCGCCAGGGCTTATGCTTATAGCGATTGCGACGGCGGCGGCGGGCGGTCACGTGCGTTTCGCCATTAGCAGCTGGAGGCCGAGAACGCGCCGAAATTTCGCCATTTCTAGTGGCGAGCGACTAGCGTTGGCGACTGACGAGATGTTCGCGCTCGCCGCTCGGTTTAGTTTATAAAAAAAAAATATATATATTTATGTTACCTCTCTCCAGTCTCCCGTTTTTACATTTCCCATTTTCCCACTCGTCGCACTCTCCACGCGCTCTTATAGTCAACACCACACATAATATAATATAATAATATATATTATATTATATTATAATTATAATGCATTTTAGCATTTATTCATATAATATATATTATAAATATATAATATTCTTATATGTGCGAGTGCGTATGGGTGTGCTGCACGTGTATCGCGTTGTGCCGTTGTCGTTGTGTACGAACGCAGACTTGGCGACGGGAGCAACGCATACGACTATAATACGAGAGCCGAGAGGTTGCACAATATAATAATAATAATAATAATAATAATAATAATATTATTTCGTTTATATCGTACGTTGGTTTCACGTCAACATTCCCGTCGCAGCCGCCGGCATTCCGAGCATTCCTCGACATACATATACATATTATAACACGAGGCGGAGCTCGCGCCGCAACAACACATTTTAATTTATAATATATATATATATTATATACGAACGTCCGGACGACGACGATCCGAACGAGCCCATCGGCCGTCCGAGTGCATAATAATAATAATAATAATAATCGTAATACCGTGGCCGTGGCGGTACACACTATAGGTAGATATTTTATTGGAAGCAGTGGCGTGGCGTGGGTATTAAAAAGATGTAAGCAGTGACATTTTTTTTTCAAAAGTGATTAGAATATAGGTACTATACCTAAATACCTAATTTTAAATTATGTATACAAAATATTATCATTTTAAAGTTTTTAATATTTTTAAAAATATACTAGTTGTACAAATCAAATTCGAGAAAATAAAGAAATTGAAGTATAAATACTTCAAAAGTCAATTAGGCAAATGACAGTGACAGTGTACGTAAAAACGACTTCAGTCTACAACGCGTCGGGCTACGTACTGGTCGCTCCTTGTTTCTCGCGTAAGCAAAATCAAATGTGCTTACAAACGCTAGTTAAATACGTGACCCCCACTATGGCATTATAGACTATTCGAAAACAACAGTTGCGCGTAAGCAATTTCAGAATGTGTTACACTGTATATCGTATTATGATTATGCAGTTAACATAATACAGAATGGATTAAAAATAGACCTAAAATCGATGATTTTCTTAAAATAGTTGGTAATCAGTAGACAGCGTACGACACAAATAAACAATAACAAAAACCACTACCAGCTATAACTTAAATATTTTATAAATAAAATTTAAATTTAAAAAATCATTTATTATGTACCTATTAGTCGTGATTGATCAAATTTATTTTTTCTTTAATTTAAAGTGTAAGCAGTGCTTACAGTGCTTACATGCACGCTACGCCCCTGATTGGAAGTATACTTCCACATAATATTATTATTACTATTATTATCATAATGAGATCGATACACATATTTTGATAATATTATGACCAAACTTAAATACTATAGAGTGTCAGTTGTAGTGTCACAGTGAGTTGTATCTGCCCGGGACGTATCTATAGTTCCATTATTATAAGTTTTCAGTTTTAAGATTTAGGACTTTGTGTGTATAATATGTTCGGACGGTTGGTAGATGGATGTTCCCGTCGTCATTTACTACGGGTCTGGCGTCTGCAGGTGAATGCAACGCCCAGATGGGCTAGATGAGATCGAAAAAAATAATTACGTTTTCGGGTAGCACCTAATGTGCTGTAACGCGTACAGTGTACACCCTACGCTCCTACCACGGCCCTACCTACCTATCTACTCTGAAAAAATTATTTACAAGGTTTTATTTATATTTTTTTACCACCCCGTCTCCTAATTTTGGGTGGTTATATAGAGATCGTTTACCGTTTTGGCGTTTCGGTTTTAAAGAAAAAAAATAGGGTGTTCAAACATTTTTCCTGTTCGAGGTCCGGGACTTGGAGGCGACGCCGTCACACCGACGCTGCGGGTACGTGCACGCTGCACAGGGCAACACACACACGCGCGTCGTACACGCACTCACACTTACTCGGCCGCCGTAGAACGATACACCGCCGACACCGCCGTGTGATATTATTGTTGTTGGATTTTTTTTTTCTATAATAATATAATACGAATTTATTAATATATTACGATAAAGAAAATACCGAAAAAGGTCGTGACGTGAGAAATGGACGGAAAAAAATGAAAGAAGATTTATTTACGATCGTTCGCGTGTATTTGTGTTAATTAACCGTGCAGTTATTTTTCGACTAGTTTTAATTATCTCCCGGCGGTGGGGGGGACATCGGAATGTTGTAGCAATATGGCGGCGGCCATGATAATGGCACACTCGACAACGTAGACTCTTTGTTTTCGTTTCTCGATAATATTGTTTTATATTTTTCACCGCGTCCGCGCCCGCTAACTCGACGCCCGACGGTCGCCTTTGCGCGCGTCCGCTGTGTGCTTCGTCCCGTGGAAACGCCGTTTCGCATTCGTTCTAAATGTGCGAAAAGTGTCGCGGGTTCTGCGTCCATCGTCCAAAGGCTGCGTTGGTGGTTACGTGCACTGAACACGGACACCGGACACCATCCGAACACTGGATAACGATGCGCCGCCGGTCCTGAGGTCAGTACCCGAATGATAATCCTTATCCCAGGTCCCAATTTCAGGTACCCATACATGATGGCCGGGTGCCCTGCTATGGTAATATGTCCTATTCCCATTTTGTCTCTAGTCCTGTAGTCCTATCCGATATCTCAAAAGGTATTTGGTAATCGGTGCGTACCACGTATAAACAGTTGTCAGGCCGCTCATCTGATTGACAGATTTATGTTGTATGTAACCGTTGACAAAAGCATGTATTAATGGTATACGTTTGAACACAGCGATGATCATCGATAATCGATTGACAAGCATCTGACCATCGGACAAAATTTCTGAATGTTCTTATGAATTGTTTGAGAAGGATATAAAATATCGTTTGTTGATTAGGTCTTATAAATTATAAAATATTGGGTGGTTATTTTATGTTCAAATTAATTTGTTCAGTTTTTTTAAGTTTTTGTTTTTATATGAACATTAGGTCTTCGTATATTTATTGAATCTAACTATACCTATACCTGTATACCTATATATATTGTCTACTCAACTGGAGTTAAAGGTTTATCCATGCAATGACAAAGTTTATAATGTTATGAGGGAAAGAAGGTACCACCTGAGACTTAGTGATGTTTATACATTAATGAATTACCTACCTAACTTGTAAGTGTAATAAAGATTACAATGAACACGATCAATATTATTAGGATAAACATTATTCCTCATGATATTCTAAAATGTATTTATCTGAAATGATAACCGTTGATTTTGAATTTGAAATTTAATATTTTAATAAACTACTTATATTTTTATAAACTATATTGTTACATAGGTTAGGTAGGTAACTACAATATTTATTATAATTATAAAGGGGGAATATTTCTTAAGTCTTATGACATGTTATTATCATAAAAAGGAATTATTCGTGTCGTAATTATTCACATTTAAGTTTTTAAATTCAGTCATATTACTACATAATATTATATTTAAATTTTAAATAACTTATTTTTTTATAATTTGTTGAAACTAATCTAAATGTCACTTAAAACCTCACTCAAAATTAAATGGTCATTGAGGTATTTGGTAATTAATAATTAGTTTGTTACAAGTATGTGATTTTAGGTACCTTATCTACTTATTTATTTTTGCCTATAGGTACCTAGTTATGTGTAGAAAGTACCTGTCACATATTAGGTATTGTCATAATATAAAATTCAAAATGTAAAATCACTGTTATATTATAGGTACCTATTTCGTGGTATAGTCCTTAATATTTATTATTTATAGGTACCACTAAAATGTTAAACCTAAAAGGTCAATTTTAATTCCTTTGTTTTAAGTAATACTGTGTAATACACCTACCTAATTGTCTTCATAAAATATTTAAATTACATTTTTGCTGTAAAGAATTTTATATAATTTTAAATTCTATTTATTTCTTTATTTCCTACAAATTATAAAATTAATAAAATAACAGGTAAAGTAAACAGTAAATTAATTAACTTCCTGCCTACCACCTACCTACCTACCTACTATTATGGTATGGTATATTTCATATTATGTAAATGTAATGTTACATATTATATTAACAATATCATTATTATTAGGTATATCATATATTTACATTGAGTTATTCCACTTTTTAAATAGTATATAAAATATAAATCTGAATTTAATATACCAATAAATAAATGTTTGTAAATAAATAGTTGAGTACACATATATTTTCCAATTTGTATATAATACATACTACCTAGACATACTACATAGGTAGTATAGTATAGAATTTAAATTTTATATGAGTACAATATTTTTTTAACTTATACTTACATCCAACAAAATATTCTGTAAAAATAATAAATATAACTAATTTTTTAAAACAACAATATTGAGAAATAATAAATAATAGATGTTTGTCTATGTACCTATTCACCTATTTTGCTTAAATACAGTTTCATAGACTTACATTCAAGAGTATTAATTCTTAAAAAACTTATTTCTGGTTTTAATTATGAATTAGTTGGCCAGGTACTTACTATGCCTTAAGATACTTAAATGATTATTGTATTCATTTTCCAGTGATTTGAACATAGTATTCATGGTTTGGTAACTTGTGTTTCTAAAGGGGGATCACACTACCAGTGGCGCCGAACTATATTTTAAAAGGGGGGGCAAGTAAAAAGTTATATAGACCACCACCTCCATTTACGCTTGCTTTAGTGCTGCATATGTATACATTAATAGCTTATTAGGAACATAATTCATAAGTAGTTTGCTGGGGTACCCACGGAGCCCCACGACCCCACCCACCGAAAAAAAGGGGGGGCGGTCGCCCCTCTTGGGTTATAGGTTCGGCGCCACTGCACACTACATTGTGTCGTGTAAAATAATCACGGTTACCACAGTTACCAAACAATACAAAATATTCAACTTTTGACCGTGTGGTTACATTTATGTGCAGATAAAGCCGGGTTCATACTTAATGTAACCACATGGTCAAAGGTCGAATATATTCACTATGCGGTATCGTTTGATAACTGAGGTAACCGTGATTATATTACACGACACGGTGTAGTGTGAACCCGCCTTGAGGCTTTTAGATTTTAAAATTAGAAATCAATAATTGGTATAACGCAAAGTAGATACAGACATTTACAATTAGCGACATATTAAAATATTAAAATATTTATTTTTTAATTTTTGCTTTTATTGGAACAATTTCAATCTTGTACCTAAGTAACTGTTAATTTTTAATCAAACGTTAGCCTATTTTACAGAGTTATAAATTAATTTTATGAAAAATAATATTTTAGAAAAAGACATTTGAAAATTGCACTATTTAAAACTTAAGCACTTATAAAATTTGTTTCTATATTTCAGGTGTTTATTTTCATCTACTAAGATCTGGATATTTTACTTTTAATTAAGTAACTACAGTTGCTTGTATCGACCATGTGATTGCTGTATTAAGTTGATCCATATACCATCACATGTTGTGTTCAAAATTGCAATGTGTGTGAGTGCGTAGTCTGTGTGTCCTCGGCCCCCAGTTAGCCATGGGCCGCCCGAGGAAGCCGTCGCCAGCATGAACTCTGCGGCGCCTGCATCGGGCAAACCATCTACCCGATCATCATCTACGGGCTACCGCCAAAAGGCATTAGCAGAGATCCGGAACTCACTATTGCCCTTTGCAAATATTGGTGGCTGCGACAGCAGCGCTGCCAGCTGCGTGTCAAGTCTTTCAAGTGCTTCAGGATCAGCCACATCTGGTATTGGGTCTGTGTCTGGTCTTAGTTCTCTTTCAAACAACTGTGTCGATAAAGAGATTAACGCTTTACGGCAGACAATTTCTCAATTCAACGCAATGGGGTATACCGAAGTAAGAATTATTTGCATTACTAATTTAATACTTAAGATATTTTAATTAAAATATAAATGAAGACTATTAATTCATAACATAAACTATAACTATTTATATGATATGATGAATTAAATCTGCACAGTTTATTTAATTTAATTAGAAAGAAAAATATTTGAATAATGTATAGATGTATATTATTTATATTATTGCATATCTATATTAAATCATTTTAGTGAGTTCTTAAATAATAATTTTTATTTTGGAACATGATTGCTGAATAGTTTGATATTGCTGATAATAACTATTGAAATATTGAATCTTTTATTAATAAAGCTAACTTTTTTGCATTTTTGCTCTGCTAAAAATATCTTAAAATTGCACAAAAATGAAATTAAAAAAATATAAATTTATTAAACAATGGTTTTTTAAAAAGATTTTGACATTTTATCATTTTTATTTCTAAAACTTTTCTTTCAAAGTATCAAGAATAAATATTTTTGAAAAATTAAAATCCATTAGGTACTATGTTTAAAATATATTTTAGTCTTTGAGGTAGCCTCACTATGTCTCATTTCACTCTAAGTTAATCCATAAATAAAACGGCTATCTTCTTTTACAATTCCTGATAACTCCCAGAGACATCTTAAATGATCCTGGCCTAGAAATCTTCTAATTTAATCTGTCAGGTGGCACCACTGAGTGCCCTCCCTTATCTGTCAGTCTCGCTATGTAAATAATTTAAATCAAAATTACTTATTGTACAGATTTTGTATAGATTGTAATAAAATATTTAAAAAAAAAAAAAAGCAGAATGTTGGTCAGCGTGTGCAGTCAGTTGCTGAAATCTATTTATTATATACTCCGTAGAACCAGACAAGTTGACACCAAATGTTGGTGATTTCCTGAAAAAAATTTCCTAATTTACCCAATAACAAAACACGATTTTGTAAAAATAGGTTAAAATTTTCAAATTGTCATGAACAATTACGTATATAATTCCTTTATAATTCGAATATCTAAATATTTACTATAAAAGTAAAATTTTCAGAAGTAATAAAGTTTGAACCTTACTATTCATTGTTTACTGAAAATCAACCTTTTAAAATGTTTTACATTAATTAAAATTTGTTAGGAAGTTTCATTCAAACATAAACAAAATTCAAGTATTTCAGAATATTACTCTTAGAAAAATCACTAACGCTCCCCTCTATGTCTCTAATTTAACTCTCCACCAAGATCTAGGTATTCTACCTGTTGTAACTGAAGTGAAACTTTTTTACATACGTTTCTTCGACAGACTTGAAAATCACCCTAACCCACTAATAAAAGAGCTACATATCTTCTCACTCCCTGGAAATCCACAACGTAGACTCAAAAGGAATTGGTTTCCTGACCATTTAAATTAAATATCGCTCATTAATTACCCTAAATTTAACGTCAAGTAGGTAAGTGCCACTAATGGGTGGCTTCTTACTAAAACAATCCATGTTTTTTAACTCTTATCTTATATGCTTAATGTACAAAATGTATAGATTGTGTATGTGCTTTTGTAAAATTAAAAAAAAAAAGGAGGTTTCATTAGGTTTAAAAAAAAAAATCCTCAAATGAATATTACCTATATTTGGACCCAGTGGCGTATTTTGAAATTTTTTGTGGGGGGGGGTCTAAATATTAGGTACCTACAAGTTTATAATATAAAAAAAACACATACGAGTTACGATGTAATAATTATATTATATTATATTTTTTTCTGGGAGGGGGTCCAGACCCGGGGACCCCCCCCCCCCCCCCCCCGTAAATACGCCACTGTTTGGACCTATAGTAGAAATGATAGAACGAAAGGCATTTTTTTTATTTAGTATTCTTTCATTACTTGTGTTAAAAGACATAAATAAGTAGACAAATTATACCTACAAAACTAATCTATGCTATTTTGACTTCCAATAGGATCCAAATCGACGACTGGAATTTGCTGGCTGGTTTTATTTATTTATCGAGTTAGAATATGATAAATAGACAGTGATGTTTTTTTTAGGTCAGTCAGTTCAGGCATAGTTTTTGAACGTCTACCCCACTTGATGGAGCATGATAATCGGCCGGCCAAATCCGGTGGTCTTAATGGACCCATAATATTATATCAATAAACAAAACCCTTTAAGAGGACGCTACCCATGCATTTGTTGTCTCCGTCTTAAATACTTACGACATAGCAAATTTTCGTTCACTAGTTTCAATAGTATGCTGTTATTTTTGTTATTAGAGTGAATTGATCTTTTATAACATTTTTAGATAATAACATTATCTGAGCTTAAGCTTTTGCTTTTATTCCATATTTTAATTTTCAAGCTAGATATGATCATTTTTAATATTTCACATACTTACTTGAAAATGAAAATTTTGAAAAATCGCCATCGCTAAATCACAGATAATGTTAGATAATGCGTAGCGAGCAGTTATTTTTGAGCTGCTGCTCCGTTGATATTTTGGGTTGGTGGTAGATGTGTACAATGAACTTATGAAATTATGAACTTGAGAGTTAAGATATCAGGACATTTTGGTAAACATCCAGTTGTGAATATGGTAGGTGGGTGGGTGGATGGATAAAATATATTTGATTCCTTCAATTAAAATTGGTCACCACGCTACTGATTTGACAGATTTTTATAATCTCATCTAAACTAATATAAAATACATCATCCACATTTGTATTATTTTGTATCATGTAAATGTGTGTATAATATCGTAAATAGTATTGTAAGAATCTATTTTGTATACTTAAAAAAAATATGAACATTCTCTTATAGCTCATAACAAATCATAAGTAAAGTACAACTATCAAAAATTATTAAAAGTTAAGTTGAATTGCCAAAAACAAAAACAAAATGTATCATCAAGCAAAATAATTATGTTCATTTTAAAGTTAGGTATCATAATTTATACTAAAAATGTTCATTCGACCTATATCTAACCTTTTGTTTTTGTTAACACTTTCATACTGATTCGTTTTTGTCATTCTTTTGGGAAAAATCTTAAATTGAATTATTTTAATTAACATTCCTAAGTTATAGTATTTTCAATAGTCATTAATAATGAATCATCCAATCTTTTCTGAGTTATCTTTCCTAAGCATGTTTTCTTATACTTTTTGTAGCAAAAAAAATGTTTTCACTTGTACAATCATATAATTATATACCTAAGTCATAAGTATATTTGAATTTGATTATTAGAGTGAGATATGTATGATGAATATTAATTTGGAACATTATTGTAATTGTATACTTGGATCTAAATACTCTATAGTAAGTTCCGGGCTGGTAACTGATTAGGTTTGCTTTTGAATTGATTGTGAGAGGGAGCAGCAACACAAAAATTTGTTTGGGTTAAATGTTTAAATCTTGATTGCGTTGTTGTGATATGTATAAGTTATTAGTTATCACTTACCTATGTCATTAATGTATTTTTATTTTTTAGTTAATAGTATGTATTTTTAAGTTTTAAATTGCAATATTTTGCATCAGAACTTTCTTTAAAATTAAAATATAAAAAAACTTACACAAGGCCCTACTAGATACCTTCAATATTGGGTCAATCCCTCTAATATTAAAAATAACACGGATTAAATGAGTTGTATGTTTTGGTATGTTATGTGTTTGTACGGAGACAATTCAAGTGGATATCACATCATTATAACTGATCAAAGAAACTCCAATATTCTGAAAATAAATGTAAACTCTACAATTCCTTATTATTTTAATATCTAATATTTGATGATTTATGAAACAAATTACCATAGAAAAAAATCATAAAAAGGAGAAAATTAGGTATACGCTAGGTGTCAAGTTTACCCCCAAGAAAAGCCATTATAATTTATGTGTTAGATTTGAATTCAATGATAAATTATTTCATTACATACAAAAACGATTCTAAGCAAAGTAAAACAGCCTATATTACTAAGTATATTTCATGATATCTTTTTTGATAATATATATTTTACTATTAGAATTACGGTAGGACAATATTACCGTTGATAGGGTTGTAGGGTTAGGTTTGATTTAATTATATCTGAAAACAGCATTTATTAACATAAATATATTTTTTTGCCTGGCCATAACCTTTTTTCTACCTGATTTTCATAAAGCTTATAATTTTATAAAATGTTTTATTGTTACCATAGTGACCCTCTCCCAAAAACATATTTATGATTCATAGTTTTTCCTTGCAGACAAAATACATCAGGTAGCATGCGTGTTAAGTATTTTATTATGAATACTTAATTATTATAACAGTAACTATATTGGGCCTGGTGTGGCTCGGTGGTTGTCCTCAGTCACTAACGTGTTCTAAGGTCAAACATCAGCCCGCGGGGCTAGTTCCCGGATGTTTTACCACCCGGGTTTTAGTGACAAATCCTGGCCCCCTATACACGTGTTCCTCAACCAACTATAACCCACCCCCCCCCCCCAACCAAACTCTAATGGCCATAGTTGCCAATGCTTAAACAAATGGTGTGATAGAGAGAAGACACAAGTTAAAGGTATAAATCAGCATTAGCTCAAAAGAAAGTCATTGTGTAGGTGTATAGTAAAATTTAATAATTTATGTAACAGTGGTACTTTTCTGTTATCCCTACTACCGCTCGATGTCGCGACTACCGCGATTCTCAATTCTGTTATCTCGACTACCACGCCGGTGTGGCGGTGTCACGATTACCGGACGCGTATTTACGGATGCTACTCGAGACTGGCCAATAGATCCCAAATTCAGTTAGGGTTCGTAAAACAAATTTATTTTACGGATACTACTCGAGTCTGGTCACTATGTAATATTCCGCTATACTCAAATAAAGTTCAATATGAAAGCTGTTACGCAGACTGGCCACTATGTAATATACCGCTATACTCAAGTACAGTGTTACAGTGATGCCATGCTCGGGGCACTCATCGCTACGCTCCTCGGCGCCGTCGCTCCGCTCCGCCAAATCGAAAATATCCCCCGACTTGCTGTGCAACACCTCGTCA